TGCTCTCTTTAGAGCACCTGACTTCAAGCACAGATGCACTTTTACAGGTGTCTGAAGATCTAGATCCCCATTTTGAAATCAGAGCTAAGCAGATCTCTCTTCAAATGTTCATACAGAGTAGCAGAAACCAGGAAGTAAGCCCAGGAATCTTGCTTTGCAGCACAGGATGTGCCAGTGCACGGCCTCTTGTCAGGCTTTCTTGGAAAGGTCTTACTTAAACGAAAAAAAAAAAACAACCCAAAACCAAAAACAAACTGTGGAGGAAAAAAGACATAATAAATGTACTCCCATGACAGCAACTTCACATTGGATAAACAGCAAACCCAACACAGCTCTTCCCTCTTTGCAATCTCATGCTTTAGAGATCACGATTATAAAAATTAGAGGATGTATTCAGTCATGATTCAAGTACAGACAGAAGTACTCAGTTCTCTTCTGTAATTCTAGAGGTCAAAGCTCACCAGTGCCATGGCACATCTTTTTATTCCCACTGAGAAGATCTCCTAAGTAGTACCCAAAAAATTCCTTCCATTCTTTAAAAAGCCACCAAATTTAATTTAAAACTAATCTTACCAAAGTACAGCATAGGTACGGGAATGGAAAAGCAGACAGTGCAATGCCCCATAATATACCAATACATCGAAAACCTTTTCTTGGTTCAATTCAAGAGCACAGAAATCACTAGGAGCAAACGTGGACCTAATGCACTGTGTACTTCTATAGCACTGAACCATCAAGATGGGGGTGGACAAGCATAAAAATACAATATAAATACATCTCCCCCCTCAACCTGTCAGATATTTATTTTAGCATATCAAATCCTATATAAATGAACATTAAAGGGAAGGGGGCAACGTTACACGCACGGTAACTGAGTTTGTGGCAGATGCATAATTTTGCCCTTTTGTACCACTTTTGTACATTTTAGACCGAAACGTACTTGAGCAGCAGGTCAAGCACTGTAAGTAGGGGTAACAGACCTCAGGCTGCCAAGCGCTACAGCCGGAAAAAAAAAAACTCATACCCGGCACACCGCCCTTCGGTGCCACCGGCTTCGCCCGCTTTCTCCAGCCGCGCCAGCAGCTCCCGCCGGCGATGCCCCCCCGCCAGCCCGACCCGCCCCCC